CAAGCTCGACAATCGAGCACATCATAAATAGAACGCGGCAGCAGTTTATTGTCGGGGATCTGTCATTGTGCACCGCGCCGCAGCCAGTGTAGACAGCCTCACTGATTATAATTAGGGATGCACCGATACCACTTTTTCCAGTACTCGCCCGATACCGATACTGCCACGCCTTACTATTTAGCAAACCGAAACTGGAAAGTTCTGCGATACGCACGAGAAAAAACGCGACTTGAGCACGTATTTACCACGGTAAGGGAAATGATGCTTCCTAGCAACGACAAATGAGAACACAAGACAAAACACTTACAAACTGCTGTCCTCTTCTGCTGCTCGACTGCTTCATCGAGAGCAGGTAATTTGTAACTCTTATGAGAGTGGTCTCAGTACTATGATACGGTCTAAATCCTGACTAGAAAACCTCACAGATACCATTTCTCTCTAAGAAGAAACATAGCTGAGAGGGTATTGCCTTTTCTAGTATTTTTGACAGAAAAGGGAGATTTGAGATTTGTCTGTAATTAACTAACTCTCTAGGATCAAGTTGTGCTTTTTAATGAGAGGCTTAATAACAGCCTATTGGAAGGTTTTGGGAACATATCCTAACGTCATTGGTGAATTAATAATATGCAGAAAAGGATCTATGACTTAAGCAACTCGTTTAGTAGCATAGATGGAATAGGGTCTATTCGTGAAACTTGTGCCATATTAAACATGCGGATCATAAACCAGATTTTCATACTGGATCAGTCGATGTCCGGGTTAACAACGACCACCACTGGTACTGCTGGCCAGCAGGGTACCGGTGGAAACTGTGCTACTGTTAATGTTGTTTTATGCAAAACTAAAAAAAACAACAACTCCACCTCAGCCTGTACTGCATAAGTGTCTATGCAAATGTTGGAGAGTTGAGCACACAAAATTTGCAAAAATAAAATAAAATAAAATAAAATAAAATGGATGTCACTAATGTTTTTGATTGCTTTTATATAATTCATTCATGCATTCTAGAACTTTTAAACTACACTAAGGTTAGAGAACACAAACAAGACTTTACATAACCTTTAAAAACAGTAAGAAATGGAGGAGCTCTGATGTCCTAATGTAAGTTCATCAATGGAAAAAGCACAATCACGTTTAAGTGTCGTCCGCATGTTCTACAGCTGCTTGCTTATTTGACGCTTATTTGTTTGTCTGTGTTTTTGCAGCTGACAGACAGGAGAATGTGACGGAAGGGTGGAGAGACGAGAAATGTCAGATCCTTTTATTGCTGCTCCTTGGTCCCATTACCACCAATCAGATCTGGACATCACTTTGGTAGGATCCAATCCTGTGAAAGAAAGGATGTGACAAAAGAGAAAGAAAGAGAGAGAGACAGAGAGAGAGAGAGAAACAGCAAAGCAAGACACACACACAATAAGTCTCAAGACGTAACAAAGGTCTGAACATGGGGTGAAGGTTTGGCGACAGGCCGGTGTAACTTGTGCCGCGCTGCCACGCCCACCTCGGGACTCGGCCATGAAGCGTCAACATTTTGAACGGTAACCGGCAAAGGGCCTGGTTCAAGACACGCAGATCCAAGATTGGTTGTAACTAGGGCTGCACGATAAATCGCATGCGATATTTAACGCGCATCTTATCAGTAAAGCCGGTTCTGTAATCAGCAGTAAATCTCCATCACCTGCGGGCTTTCACATTGAGCAGAATTAACTACACAGAGCCGTTGTTCACTGACGAGCTGCGCCAAACCACGTTCATATTCGCGCGATTTTTTGCGCAGCTCGTCAGTGAACAACGGCTCCTTTTAGCTGTAGCTTAGCATAGATCATTGAATCTGATTAGACCGTTAGCATCTCGATCTAAAATGACCAAAGAGTTTCTATATTTTTCCAGCGCCTGAAAATAGTCCCCAGCTAGCGAGATGCTAACGGTCTAATCAGATTCAATGATCTATGCTAAGCTACAGCTAAAAGTGCTACTGCCAGACCCGGAGATCGGCTGAATGGATTCGAAAACGGTAAAACTCAACTGTTTAACTCTAGGGGAGTTGGAAAATGAGCCTATTTTCAAAAATAGTGGAGTGTTCCTTTAAGACCGTTTTTAGGATTTTTTTGTCAAGTTAGGAAGTTTCTGTAATACCCCCTTCCTATTTGTAGTTAAGATAAGATAACACACTTAGGAAACGCTGTTCTGTAATAGCTTTTGTCCTAAATGTGGTCCTAACTGAAAATACAATGGTTGCCAAACAGATAAGATAAGATTTTAAAGTTAGGATCTTTCTGTAATACGCCCTCTGCTGCTCGACTGCTTCTTCTAAGAAGTGCTTTCAAACAGGTAAATAAGTACTTTTACTGGCTTTGGCCACGCCTTACTATTTAGCAAACCGAAACTGGAAAGTTCTGCGATACGCACGAGAAAAAATGCGACTTGAGCACGTATTTACCACGGTAAGTGAAATGATGCTTCCTAGCAACGACAAATGAAAAAACAAGACAAAATACTTACAAACTGCTGTCCTCTTCTGCTGCTCGACTGCTTCTTCGAGAGCAGGTAATTTGTAACTCTGATGAGAGTGGTCTCAGTACTATGATACGGTCTAAATCCTGACTAGAAAACCTCACAGATACCATTTCTCTCTAAGAAGAAACATAGCTGAGAGGGTATTGCCTTTTCTAGTATTTTTGACAGAAAAGGGAGATTTGAGATTTGTCTGTAATTAACTAATTCTCTAGGATCAAGTTGTGTTTTTTAATGAGAGGCTTAATAACAGCCAATTGGAAGGTTTTGGGAACATATCCTAACGTCATTGGTGAATTAATAATATGCAGAAGAGGATCTATGACTTAAGCAACTCTTTTAGTAGCATAGATGGAATAGGGTCTATTCGTGAAACTTGTGCCATATTAAACATGCGGATCATAAACCAGATTTTCATACTGGATCAGTCGATGTCCGGGTTAACAACGACCACCACTGGTACTGCTGGCCAGCAGGGTACCGGTGGAAACTGTGCTACTGTTAATGTTGTTTTATGCAAAACTAAAAAAAACAAAAACAACTCCAGCTCAGCCTGTACTGCATAAGTGTCTATGCAAATGTTGGAGAGTTGAGGACACAAAATTTGCAAAAATAAAATAAAATAAAATGGATGTCACTAATGTTTTTGATTGCTTTTATATAATTCATTCATGCATTCTAGAACTTTTAAACTACACTAAGGTTAGAGAACACAAACAAGACTTTACATAACCTTTAAAAACAGTAAGAAATGGAGGAGCTCTGATGTCCTAATGTAAGTTCATCAATGGAAAAAGCACAATCACATTTAAGTGTCGTCCGCATGTTCTACAGCTGCTTGCTTATTTGACGCTTATTTGTTTGTATGTGTTTTTGCAGCTGACAGACAGGAGAATGTGACGGAAGGGTGGAGAGACGAGAAATGTCATGTGATGCACATTTAAATGCATCGTCCTCCATAAAACGTATATAATGCACAGTCTCCATCCTAAGAGAAAGACAGATGCCTTTAAACAACCATGAAGAAGCTCTACAATATCCTGTGGATTTTACTGGGTAAAGTACAACATTCATGTATCTGCTTTTTATTAGATTCACACTAACATAATAACAGAGTTTTCTGCAGTGTTTTTCCATTGTTCAGAAATGTTGCTCTGTTCGTGTTGAAATTTCTTGCCAAATAAACTTAATCTTGATCAGTTGCTGTTTCATACATTTATGGTTGTCTATAATTAAGGTATTTGTTTAACCATACATTTTTATCATTGTTTACATTATATACTTGTGCTCTGTGTATTGTTACAAAACAAATAATATTTTCAAACATATTACAACTGAAAATAAGTAAAAGAAGTACATTTTCTATGTGAATATATGTTCAACTAATTTATTGCTGTTATTAAAGGTGGATTTCCAGCATCATTACTCCAGTCTTCAGTGTCACATGATCTTCAGAAATCATTCTAATATGCTGATTTGCTGCTCAAGAAACATTTCTGATTATTATCAATGCTGAAAACTGTTGTGCTGCGTCATATTTTTGTGTAAACTGTGATGCATTATTTATTTGTTATTTGGTGAAAAGAAAGTTCAAAACAACATAATTTATTTGAAATATAAATATTTTGTAATGTTATAAATGTCCTTACTGACACTTTTGATTAATTAAATGTGCCCTTGTTGAATGAAAGCGTGAAGTTCTTAAATTGACTGATCTCAAACTTGTTGATTGTAGAATGTGGATTTGTTTGTCACTTAATCTCTAGGATAGGTCTTCAAAGTTGTTTTTAGATCTACTTTACCAAACAAATCTTATGATAAATAGATGCTCATTTGTGTATAAAAATAGTTTGATAGTCTGTATTTGTCAAGAACACCTGATAGTGATTTACAGGAATGTTTCCTCGTCCCACTTTAGATTACAATATTTTTCTTGTTGCAGATTTTGTCATTATTATGTCTATTTTATGTTTCCATTATCATTTAGATAGTTTGTTAGCGACAATATTAAAGGGAATTAAAAAAAAAAAAGAAATGCAAATATGATTGTGATTTAACAAAACCTAGTTCTACTCACAAATCTCATGTCCACAGGGTTTTTATTGATTGAAGGAATGGCAAATGGACAAGAAGGCAAGAAGCATTCATTTTATTTAAATCTTTGTTCTGTTTTGTCTGTTTGAACTGGCAAATATTAAAGTACTTAGAAATTTTAAAGTACTTAGAAATTACATTATCTGACTTAAAAAAAATTAAATAAAAAATAGCCGGATAGCTGTTTGTTCTTTTGCCTGTTCACTTTAAATACCTCTGGCATTTTTTGCACCCTTAATTTCTGACATTGCTGATGATAAGTAATAAAGATTACTTTGGTAAGATGCTTTAAAAATCCCCTTTGAGATCTAATGCTTGATAATTTTTTGATTCTGATAAGAATAAAACAATGGTGACTTCTTACTGGCCTTTATTCGTGAAACATTTTCCAGAGAACGCAGCACTTTGGGGTGAAACTAGTGAGTCATCAGATTATGGATTCTGGATACCTACTTATGCTATTGATGGATTGTTGACCACTGTGGCCCACACCAAATCAGAGACTGACCCGTGGTGGAGAGTGGACCTACTGAAAGTATACAGAGTGAACAGAGTCACCATCACCAATAGAAATAACTTTGCTTATAGGATTAACGGGGCGGTGATTCGTATTGGAAACTTTCTTGACGTTTACAATAACACCATGTGAGGATTTCTTTGACTGTATTTAGCCTATTAATAGCACTGCAGATTAAGACAAACCAATAACAAACAATCTTTCTGTCTGTAGATGTGGTGTGATTTCTACTCTTGCGGCCAGTGCCACTGCCACTTTCTCATGCGGTGGGATGGTGGGACGTTATATGATTGTTCATCTTCCTGGAGATGACAAAATCCTTACTCTTGCTGAAGTTGGAGTCTACGGGTATTTGGCAGGTAATTCATTATTGTATAGCACTTTTCAATATTGAATGTAATAAATATTTTTTTATTACACACGGCTCTCTGGAAGGCTTGATTCTGATTGGTCAGTCACGACAGGGTCAGTTGTTCCCACTGATCTATAATAGAGAACTGGATTGCTCACCGCGCCACCATAATGGTATTCCCTAGTAGCTATTCCCTAGTCTTGCGTAACCAGACCTTCAGAATGATGGCAGAAGGTCTGGGAACCTTGGCCGCTTTGAATGGCCAAGGCCCACCCAAGAGGCCATATGACTGACAGGTAAAGCAATCAATCACATTTCTTTTTGTGCCGCATCATGTTTAGGGGCGTGGAAATGTCCCCACAATAACAAAAGATGAGTAAAACTCTTGGACGTATTTTAAAGATTCTATGCTGCAAACTTTAAATATTTCACATACTTTTGAAAATCCAGTATTTAGTTGATCCTGGTAAGCGCTCTTCACAGTTGTAAGCACGATGGCTTTCTTCTTCCATGAAGGGGTTTGGCATCACAACATCTTTGTTTCCAGGCAGAATGTTAAAGAACGCGACACACGTCTCCCGCAAATCCTGTATAAAGCCCTATTCGCACTAGAAAGAGAAAGCTGAAAAGGTTTTGAGGTTAATGTGTTACAAATAAATCAGGCATAAAGCTTGAGATATCATTTTAACCTGGTGAAATGTAAATGACACAAGACACGAAACTATATTAGTTTCTTTTTTTTTTAAATCCATCTAACTGGACCGTAGAACGGGACTCTCAAAGCCTTGACATCGTATCCGGGAGATAAGCTTAATTCAGCCAAGCCAATGACGACTTCAAAACTCCTAAAGTGTTTCCAGCTAAGTGTGCCGTATACATCGGTCCGTGGGCGTGATGTCTGAGGCTGAGACTAGCTATTCCCATACATTATATTGAATTAATAGAATTAATGAGAAAACATCACCTAACAAGTCAGCGTTTTTATATCTTAAGTATCCCTGTACATTCATACAATGCAAACGCCCTAAGCATGTAAACGGTTATTTGTTTAATGTCAGGGATTTCCCCTAGGTATTTAAAAGTTACCTTCATTTAAATTACAGTAGCGTTCATCAGATAAATATAATAAACATTGGATGCTGAATATATGTGTTACAAATGACAACAATCAGACAAATCTGAATAGAGATATATGCTACACATATACCTTAATTCACCTTGTACAGTTTTTCACTGTTTATTTGTTATTTGTATTATTGTTGCTGTAGTGTTTTTATTCGTACAGTAGGCTAACTGCAAATATTTCAACAATGATTTTGTTAACATCATTCATTTTGAAGCAGGTAATGATTAAAAGGTTGGTTTTAAAATAATAATTAATTCAACATATATACATAAAAGTTTACTCCTATGGAAACGGTAATACTAAAACACCATAGAATTTGCATGATCTAAAAGTCTGAAATAGATGTTGCTCAATCAGGACATTAAAATATACACACCATAAATTATTCAGAGAAATAATGCTGACTACATACAGTATGGTACAAAGGAAGCTTTATTTCCAAAATGGTGCAAGCTTTGAATTTCAATACAACATAGAGCAATATAGTAACAGAGGCTTGTTTCGTGTTATTCATTGTATATTCGAATGAATTTCAGATACTAATACCAGATATATGTTCATGTTTAACATTTCCTGCATAATTACATATATAAAGAAATATATTTTATGTTGGCTTATTTACCTGTGTCAGCATGTGCGTAGCAGACACACCCACCTTAATGATTTCAATATTTTGCTTATCCTGGCTGAAAAGACCATAAACTTCGCAAATAATAACTGAAGAAAAACACACATTTAAAAAAAAAAAATCCCGTGTGACTGACTAACAGTGCTAACTGTGGTGTTATTGAAGATAGAGAGATTGTTTAAAAAAAAAACAGGTTGTTGAAGTAATGAGGTACGGCCTCTAATTATTGTGAATGTAGTTGTAATTGTTTAATAGTGATTGGTAAAATAAATTACACATTTCAAGTTGTTTTTCACCAATATTCTTCCCTTCCACTGTTGCTCTCAAATGTAAACTTGTTTTCGCCATAGAATAAAAATATGCAAAAGATAATTGTGACTTTTTTTGCGAGTTTACATCTCACAATTTTGTCATTTTTCTTCGAATTCTGAATTTGCATCTTGCAGTAAAAATAATAAATACAAATTTCTCAGAATTTAGAGTTTTTTTCTCACAATTGACGGTTCGCAAAGAGCTTGATTGACAGGTGATCTGACCAATCAGAATGCGGATATTATGTGCCACCGTTGCTATCCACCATCTTGCCCAACAGCTACGGTCAGTCTCCATTGAAATCCAAGTTAAAACGGGGTAAAAAAGATAGACTGAATTGAAACCTTTTCAATATATCTAAATATAAAAATGTGTGCAGGATTAAGCTGTGCTATTGTTGGCTGCCACAGTAACAGCAATAAGCTAACGGAATTCCTTTAAAGTACTTATTTTGCATACCAGAAAATCTGTCCATGTCCGGCGCTGTATGTATAGCTTGAAGCGCTTAAGTTAAAATTCTGAGTGTGAAATAATAAAATAATATGTTAAAACGTGTGCTCTTATCATTCTGTGGACAAAATCCTGTGAACTTTGCCCCAATCGGGAGCTGTAACTTATATGCAAATGTGCGCTCATCTGTTTTCAACACCAGAGGTGGAAAGTAACTAATTACAAATACTTTCGTTACAGTACTTGAGTACATTTTTTAATTTTTCTACTTTAGTATAATTAAATTGTGGTACATTTACTTTTACTTGAGTAAAATAAAACTAAAGTATTCAACTTCGCTACATTTATTAATTTTTTTATTTTTGTACAAAGTACAAAAAAAAAGACAAAAGTGGCTCTGATGGAAAAAAAGAGCGAGCCGGCATTTGACGGGCACTTGTCAAACTTCTGGGGTGGAGCACATTTTTACGTTCATCTGGCTGATACATGAACCATGATTTATCTGTTAATCAGATTCGTTTTAAATCACTTTTTATGTATGCGTGCTTTGGATGTGTGTGCACATGGGCGAAGAAACTACATAGGCTAGTCTAAGTATGACCGGACGATTTATACACATCCAAAACGAGACGATGTGAACATGCAGTAAATGTTTCATTCATACTCAAAGCCGGAGGGCGCTCTCGCGCAGAAAGAAGATGTTGGATCCCCAAGCCTAGGTATGTGTTAAAATGTTAAATAAAATGCTCCTTTTTTGTCCTACCGAAAATGTGCCTGGTGTCCACCTTTGTTTTTATAACAAACTACACTTTTAATGTGATTTTAAATCATTCAAGTCAAGAAGACTCGCGGACTGTTTTCTCTGCTGGGCGCTCTCGCGCAGAAAGTCCAAAACGGCCTCATGGAAGTAATAACTTATGACATGCAGGAAATCCCTAATATGGACAAAGGCATCCCGCTATCACTGTATAGCTTAAAAAAGGTAATTTCAGGTCATTTCCAGGTAATACATAGTATATGAATAATGCAGTGCTAATTGACATAACATTTATTACAGTATAGAAACTTAAACCCTCACTTATCCTTCTTTGCTTTTGCCCTTCTTAACCTCAATCTGTCCTTGGGGTCAATATGACCCCAATCAACTTTTCCTTAGTTAAAAAAAATGGTTCCCTTCATCTCAGCGGAATAAGATTTTGTGACTTTTCTACATTATCTATCTATATTCACATAAAAAAAAAAAAATAAAAAAAACTGGGCTTGATTCGGTTGTTCTGAAGGTATGTAAAAAATTTTTTTTACATTTCTGTCCCCCTCATTTCTGAAATGATGGCTACGCCACTATGTGTGCAGTATAGAAAACAGTGCACAAGTCTTCTTGTGCATGAATGGTTTAAAGTCATATTAAAATGCAGACAAAAGAATCGATAAGAGGAATCAAAATTTTAATTTTATAACAAGTAGACGAGCACCCCTACTTCCCGCGTCCCTGATTTCTTTTAAACCCTCACTTATCCTTCTTTGCTTTTGTCCTTCTTAAAAACAACCACATAATCTTATATGTGAATGTACTTTTCAAAATGAGTTATAAAACAGTTGCTCCTGGCAACAGGGATAGCTAGTATGTTTGCTTAACATAGCGTCAAACATGACAATTTACCTGACCTGTTTGAGACTAATATCATGTTTTGCTCCAAAATCACTATATAACATCAGTCGTGTTTGAAACAGTTAGTTTCTGTGGTTCTATGTTGCTTCTTATCACAGTGAGACAGAAAATATATTTTTATAAAAATCTTTACTGTGATACAAACTATGTCAATTAACATTGCATTGCAATTGTGTGTTTATTGTCTTCCACGTTTCATCAGTCAAAGCGTCTCTCTCTGCATGTTATTCAGCTGATATCTGATGCATTTTTCCATATAAGTGATTTTCTGGGTCTCACTTGTGAAACAGACATTAAAGTACATGGGTGTAAGGGTTAGGGTTAACCCTGCTCCAAAATGCTCACATCG